TTTTACTATTTTTAAATGTTGTATTACTTTCAATAATGTTTAATCAATTTCTTTTTGATCAATTTTTTAATCAAAGTGTATTGTGAAGTGCAATGATTGAGTGCTAATATTTAAGTAACAATTTAGTAACATTTTGTTTGAATTATTTAAAGATTTCTAACTGCAAATTCATAAATTATAATAAACATTAACTTATGAATTTACTATATTTTAAAAAACTCGTATTTTACAGGAGTATGTACAGGTGTGTTAATAGTAAGTTTTATTTATTTGTATGTAAACTTGGTAAAATTCTATTTTTAAATTTTTTTGGATACACACATTGACAAATCTCGAACTATATAATTGAATAATATTTATGTAATTGGTGATTCCGTGCCACAAATTATTGGTAATAAGTTACCCAAAAACAAAAAAAATGTTAACAGTTCTTTTTGTCAATACCAGACATAAATTTAACTGTTAAGGATAGTATATCAAAAAAGCTTTTTATGTGGCACATGGAGATGTTTTTAAGATTATAACTGATGAACAAAAAGATTTTCTCATATACCAGGTATCAATAGGATTAAAATCATATGTAGCAGATTTTGCTTATAAAATTACGTTTGATACAGATATATACAAGTTTTAAAATAAATTTATTTTGTTAAGATTTTCAATAAAGATTTTATTTTAAATTGAATGATTTTTCAGATTTAAAAAATACAGAAATTTCTCTAGGTTCAATGTCTTCGGATTCAGAGCAAAACATTAAATTTGAAGGTAGCACTAGACAGACTGATTTTTTATGAGATGGCTGATGAACGCGGTAAAGTATTTTTTGATACATTTTTTCTGAAAAACAAAATTTTTGTTGTATTTCGGTTTTTTCAAGTATATTAATTGAGTTCTAGATTCGTAAGTTACTTTTTAATGAAAAATGATATAACTACTTGAAATAAACAGGCAAATTTAGTTTTAATTAATAATATTGTAACGTTATCACGAGTGCTTGTCGGTACGTATTTCATAATTACTTACATTATCATGAATAATGATGCTTTACAAGAACTAACTTCAAGAATTATTAAATTATATAACGTAAATAATAATATATTAACCTAAAATCTACAAATAAAAACAAATGTTATGAGTTATTTATATTTTTTTAGAATCAGAGGCTTACCTAATCTTGTTAGCAAAGGTAAATTAGAAAAAAAATTTAATAAACGGCACTTCCTGATGGAAAAAATTTTACACAAGCTAATGCTATTTTCAAAGCCTTCAATGATTGGGATCTAAAAGACAAAGTGAAAGCTTAATATCTGATACAACAAATTCGAATTTAGGAATAGTAAATGGTGCTGTGACTATTCTTAAGCACTTTCTCGATACAAGTATATTGTATTAACCTTGTCGTCACCATATTTATGAACTCACTTTGGCATGAGTCTTTAAATTAAAACTTCTTGGAACTAAAGGACCAGTTAATCCATTATTTAAGAGATTTCTTAATAAGTGGCCTAATTAAGATCCAGCAAAATACAACGTTGATGAACTTTAAGATCTGCACTCATCGTTATTTCGGCGAAAAAAGGAGGTCATAAATTTTGCAAAAAGGTATTTGAAAAAACAGAAACCTCGTGATAATAAGGCGCTACTTGAATCGTTTTATTTTTTTAGAAACATTTCCGGAATATTTTAAGATCTGTAAACCTTGAGCATATCATGCCCGATGGACGTCTAAAGCTATCTACTTGATAAAAATATATTTCTTTCGTGGATTCTTTTACATCAGTGATGTCTAATTTAAAAAAAACTTTTTGATCTTTGTTTACTTATTGTTTTTGTGTAAGCAGAAACCTGGTTTTTAGCTCTAAACGCTGTGCAAGCTCTAAATAACGACTTGGAATTTATTATAAATATTTTTTTTTTGATAAAGAAGTTACATAAAATTGTGAGGACCATAAATAATTGGAAATAGTACAGAAATCTATGAATCATATAAATTTCATATTTTTTAAATATTTAAAATAAATTTTCTATTCAGATATGTTGATTCTGTGTTATTTGATACAATGTACGTAACTAAGAATTGTGTTTAAAGTTTATCCAATTTTATCCACCCACAGCGCCCCTTGAGATGCTCAACAACTTAACTCTAGTACTGGTTATAATGATCAAAAGTTTGATGCTAAACGCAACCTTCCAGCAGTATGTCAGTCAAGCCAAGCAGAGCTCAGCACCACCACTGACCAAGATGTGAACTAACATTTAGTATGTAGTGTAACCATAAAAAAACTTTGTTTCTATTACAGCACTGATTAAAATAGTAAGACTTTCTTTTAATGCTTATGTATTTATACAGTTATAACACAATTTTCTTATATCATTTTTTTCTATTTCTATTCTTGAATAAAAAAAAGGTAAGGTTAATATTACTTTTAAAAAATGTAACTTTTCATTGATTTTAATATTTTTCTTTTCTTACATTTTGATTAAAGGTTCAACATTTTACATCTGTCGGATAAAAAAAAAGCTACCAGTTTCTGGTTTGCTACTGCCTTATCCATTGGAACCCTTTAAAATAGCAGAACAAAACTAATGATGAC